AGATTATTCTTTAATGCTGTCTGGGTGATAATGACTCGACAGACAGCAGCAGTATCCTCTCTCTCTGCTGTGTCATCTAAAGATACCTTCAGGCATCACCAGATGTCTTCTGGGACAGAAATATTATCCGCTGAGGACACTGGAACACAGGATGCAGTGACAACTGGGCTGATCTGGACAGTGGTTTTGAGCAAAAGTGGGGCAGAGAGGACATGTATGACCTCAAGCAGAAGGGAATAACATGGACTCCTCAGGAAAAAAAAGAGCATCAAGCCACCAGAGAGGGTAAAACAAGCATTCTCAAATTGCCCTTGTCAGGAGCAGTGAGGTACATTGAAGACAAAAGCCTTGGGAAAGACTCGAGCTGGCCTGTTGGCAGATCACCCTGCAAGAAAAAAACACAATCTCAAAAGAAGCAGTCCTCCTTCCAAAAGTTGTGAACAGCTGTGCATGGATAATGGCATCCCAAACCCTATCTACAGGCATTATCATCAGTTGTGCCATTTCTTAACAGAAAAGTGGATTGGGAACCAGAAAGACAAGAACACGAGGCACTAGGAAGTCCAGACTTCATGATGAAACATGGTGCAGAGCCAAGGCTAGAGCCTACATCTTAACCCACACTCACAAACACATACATACTCTTACACCTTCTGTCTCTCTCCCTCTTTATTTATTTATCTCTCACACACACTCACATACTCATGCATACACATTCTCCTCATACACGCTCATTTGCACACATAATCTAAAAGGATCTTTGTCCATCAACAGATGAATGGCTAAAGAAAACTCTGGTACACTCACACAAATGGAGTATTATGTGTCACCAAAAAAATAACAAACACTTTGTGAAATATTGCCCAACATGGATGAAACGAGAACAAATGATGCTGAGTGGCATCATAAGTCAGCCACAAAAAGATAACTATGCTATAAGATCACTAATACTCAAAGCTAAGGAATAATTCTGACTCGGTGGCTTACCACAACAACATAGAAGTAGACATAGATGTTGTTCGGTGCCATTAAGTCAGAATGACTCAACTGACCCTCCAGTGGGTGTCTAGAGGGAGTGAATCACACAGGAGGAGATGACTCATCTTTTTCTTGAGGAGCAGCTGGTGGATTCAAACTACCTGTCTTTAGGTTAGCAATGCCGCTCCTTGCCCACTAGGCCACCATGGCTCCCTATATATTATATATAACTTAGAAAGATATAAATATATGGTGAAGGGAACAAAGAGAATGCCTCTAGTATTTTCATCTCTGTTGTATAGCTATAAATTGAGGGAGCAGGGGTAGAAGTCTAGGGATGGAAGTGGTATGAATGTTAAAAAATTTAAAATGTAGAGTGTCAGAGCAAGTGTAGAAGATACAGCTACATGTGCACAGAAGCAAAAGGGAATATGTAAAGCAGGAAGACAGGGAAGGATAGGGGAGTGATGGCAACTGCGGTAAGCATAAGAGGATATAAGTACAGGCTATGAGGATGGGCAACGCAGGCAGGGGCAGCTGAAGGAAAAGATAGAGCTTTGTCCAATGACGAGGCAATCACTCAAGCCGAGTCTACGAACTAAAGATTGATCCCTGCCATAGTGTGGTGGGCTAAGGACAGGGAACCATGTCCCTGTGGTCCCTTTGATGGATTCTGTGGGAAGGCTCAGTGTTGTCCAGGTGCTCCTGAGCTGAGTGCTAGAATTCTGAAGCCCACCCAGTGCATAGCTCTTCTTATGATGGAAAGAAAGTGCACTTGAGCATCAGCTGGGGAAATTATGCTGCAAAAGACTGCTTTAAAGGGTCAAAGCCACAGACATTGCATTAGGACTGATGCACACTTGGTCTTCTACAGCTCTTCTCACTGCTGCCTGTGCTTGCTAACAAAGCATGAAGACCCAAGAAGAATCTGTGCCTTTAAGTCATGGTGCTATAAGAAATATATGGCCTGCAAGCAAGGTACAGACAAATCTGACCTTGAAGAAGTGCAGTCAGAATGCTCCATGGAAATAGGGTTGGAGAGATGTATCACTTACTTTGGAGGGGACTAGTTCCTAAAAAAAAAAGAGAGATGCATGGTAAAAACATACAAACCCCTAAACCAGACCCATTGCCATGGAGCCAGAACCTACCCATCGCTGACTCTCGGTGGTTTCTCAGCAGCTGTACGTGGCACAGGAGGAGACTGCCCCTCTTTCTTCCACAGAGCAAGGGGCAGATTCAAACTGTCTGCCTTTGGGATGGCAGCACAGCTCCTTACCCACTAGGTCACTAGCATTCCCTAGGTGTAAAGTAGATGGTCAGCTGAAAAGATAAAGACCTTCAATGAGATGGGTTGGCAAAGTGGCTGGACTACAGCTCAAACACAGCTGTGACCCCAAGGACAGTGTGGGGCGGGCCGTGCTTCATTCTATCTTACAAAGCACTTTCCAGAATCAGAACCCACTCAACATCATGTAATAACAACAGTCACTCAGAATCAAAATAATATTTCCTTTCATCTAGGTGAGACACTCTGGTTGTTGGTGTGTCTCATGTTGAGCTGCTAACTGAAAGGTCAATGGTTTGAATCCACCAGCCGCTCCATGGAGATAGACAGCAGGCTCCTCCTGTAAAGATTTGCAGCCCCAGAAATCTGAATGAGAGTCTGGCTTTTTATTCCTCATTGACACTCTTGTGGTGCTTGCATGTGTGTGTTGTCTGATGCCCTCTCCCTTCTGGCCTTACCTTGCACATGCTTCTTACACCCCACTCATACAGGGTCATGGGGTGTGGGAAGGTCCATCCCAGCTGCAGCACTGCAACCTCCCCCCCCCCCATCCCATTAGCCTGCTGTTTGGACTGTCAGCCCACAAATCCAAGCCCTTGTTCCCAGCCTGTCAGTCTGAGTGGGGAGTTTGGAGGGGACAGATCTAAGGGTGGCTATTTCTGTCCATATGAAATTAACCTGGATACACTGAGACAGTGAGCTCTTTCCAGGCAAAGAAAGCCAAATGTCCTGCCTGCCTGGGGAGGGGTGTGCCAGTTCTAAGTAGAGCCTTAAAAGAACAAATCCCCATCTCTCTCTCCTCTCTCCCCTCTCCTTCCTCCTCCTCCTCCTCTTCTTCTTCTTGTTGTT